TTTGGGCTTAGCTAGCCGATGGATGGTTTCTGCCGTGGTGTACCCCAGCGCGGTGACGACGACACTGAGGGTTGACAAAGGATGTACACTGGTAGAATTTTGCTGCAAGAGGCCACCCACAGGAGATGTTACTCTTCTGAGCTGCAGGTAAATCTCTTGGTCAAGGGTTGAGTCTCAGCAGCACAATGTTCTCTTCACTCCACAAACTTTTAACTGAGAGTTGTCATTTTGGTTAAACATTTGGCAGGCAGACTTTACTCATGTTCCAAATGAGTTTTGATAAACTTTTTGCGCTATGGGGCGGGCCTCACTTACTGACTAATTAGAGTACCTGCCAAACCACCTAAAACTCAGACAGTTGGGTTATCCTAACTGTGACACGATGCTCTCTATAAATATAATCCAACCTTTATGGACCACTTCAAGAAGAATGTCACAAGCTCAGATTTGACATAATCGATGTGTAGTTTGAAAATCTAGGCTCTATAATGAACAACAATGGAGACTGTTCAACAGAAATTAAAAAGAGGATGGCCATAGCAATGCAAAGATTGAACAGCCTTAAAAGTCTATGGTTAAGTACCAGCAATGAGATAAAAATTAGAATTTTGAGAGCATGCATCTTCCCTGTGGCTACATAGGGATGTGAGTCGTGGACTGTCTCTTAGTCCTTAAGAAAGAGAATAGGGGCTTTTGAGCTGAAATGCTATAGAAAGATCCTCAGAATATCTTAGACAAAGAAGATGAGAAATATTGACATCTTACAAAATCTGAACATCAAGGAAGATTGGCTAATAAACAGCATCCTTTCTCGAAAGCTGAAATATTTTGGTCATATCAAGCGCCACGACGGATTGGAAAAAATTATAGCCGAAGGCATGGTACCAGTAAGGAGGGGCAGGGGCCGACCGACACGAAGATGGGCACAGGATATAAGTGACTCCTTGAGTGTGAAAGTTCATGAGCTGGGAGAGCTGGCGAGAGACTGAGTTTCTTACAGGCAGACTGTGATGAGAGCGACGTTCTGCAAAGGACTTGCTACATAATGATGATGAGTTTGAGATAGAACGAGGACATGATGTTACATTTAAATATAAGATTTCCTAGATGGACAATAGCTAAAGAGGTCTAACTTGAAATGTACCAAATTATTGTTTGTTTGTGGGTGTTTTATTTACAAACTATACAATCTTCGGATTTTTGTTTCTCTTGGTCCCTGTGAAGTGGATTGGAAACTATATCATTGGACAAGGACCCAAAAAAAAAAAAAAAAATAGGAGGTGCCGTGTGCTTAAACAAAATGTCCACAGTTGAAAACCATTAAGAACAGGCCTTCCAGAGAAAAACAGAGGAAGGGTTAGCTGAACGAGAAGTCTGCTGGCAAACACAGGATCCAAGACTGGGGCCCTGAACCCCACACAGGAACTGTGATTAAACATTGAGGATCTCCAAACTAATTCGTCTGACAAGGAGGTTCTGAAGAAAAACATCACAGAAGTCTCTGAGAGGAATCAGCAGATGGCTGACAGGGAGGTGGTGCATATGATAAAGTGTAGGAGAACGACCTTTTAAATGTGGCATTTGTAGTTCACCATATTCACGGAATATAATATGCATTTGAAAAGAAAGAACAGAGTGCGTACAGGAGAACAATACTTTTATGTGCGATATTTATTAAATGACTTTTTAATGAAAACTAAACACTGAATGTTGAACTAAAAATCGCAGTCACAGCACTTAAGGCACCACCATAAGCGCTCCGTCCCCATCTTCAGCAGCAAACGAAGAGTTACAATTCATCAGTAACTGTCTGATTTTATATGCGTCTCATCCTTCCCCCGGGTATTGAGCATCTGCCAGATCCCCTTGTAACTCCTCGCAGCGCTATTCTCCTCGGACCCTAATGATTTGTCTGTGCCTCGCAACTGTTCACTCGCTTCCAAAGAGACCTTACAATATCTAACTTGTTATACATCAATTCATCACAACTATACTTTGAAGAGACACTCAAAGACTTCCAGTTTAAATTCTCATTCCTCACGAACAATTCTCCTCAGACCATAATTATCCATCTTTTGCCTCCACACTGTCCACTCCCAAAGGGCCCCCACAACATCTGGCTTGTTATACATCAATTCATCACAACTATATTCTGAAGAGACACTCAAAGACTTCCGATTTACCTGTGGAAGTAAGTAAATTTCACCCCACCAGGACATCACACAAGCGATATACACCCGATGGCACAAAGTGCCACCATGTGGACGAGGATCACTGTGGAGAGGTCTAAGAAACCGCGTTCAGCCATTAGACCATATTTATGGCCGGGCTATATTGCGGCCCCTGGCAAGAGCAATAACGAAGAATGGGATCCCATACAGGGATGACAAGACAGACTCATGTATGCGCCACACTTCTGCTCTATCAGATAACTTGGAATCGTACACACGGCCAAGAATCTTTACCGGTTCGTCCAGAACCGCGGGGATCCTGTTCTTTGACACCATAAAGCTGACTGCCGCCACTTTACCATCACGGATTGACAAACTCTTCGACTTCTGCGGTCTGAACTGCATTCCGCACCACCCGACAAAGCAGTCCAACCTTTTCATAACATTGCGGTCATCCACCTCACTGTCCGTTATAATGGTTGTGTCATCCATAATTGCACGCAGTGGCGGCATCCAGTGGTCCCCAACTGAAGGCCTTGAACTGTAGCCGGCCGCCCCGTCTAACATTACCTGCATGGTCATCACAAACAGTATAGGCGAAATCGTGCACCCCATCAATATCCCAACCTGGAGTTCAGTCAATCTGGTCGTGAACGTTGCGGTAAAGAACCGTAGAGCGAACTTAGCGAAAAATATTTCAATCATCTCTGTGATCTGTGCCGGCACGTGGGACACGCGTAGGGCCTGCCAAAGACGCTTATGGGGAACCGCCGCATAAGCATTTGCCAGGTCCAACAATATCACATGTAATTCTTTCCTCCCTGCTTTGGCCCTCTGGATACTCTCCTAAATCATGGTCGCGTGCTCTAGACACCCGGGATGCCACCTGTCTGCACTGTCGTATCTATGTTGCACTGTCGTATCTTTGTACTTGTTATCCATCAAGCACTGCGTCAACCTGCACGCCATAACCGAGAAGAATATCTTTCCCTCGACATTTAACAACAAAAGGGGCCTGAATTGTGATAGGCTGATGGAATCTTTCTCCTTTCGGGTGTACACTCCGTTGGCTCGCTGCAACTCCGGACATTTGTGCTTTCCTCTCCACGCTAATTTTAGTAAGCGGTGAAGCATTCTGGGGGATTTGGTGCTGCGTTTGTACATCAAGTACAGGAAACCATTGGGTCCTGGGGTGGATTTGCCGCTGGCTCTTTTTACAGCTTCTTCTACTTCGGCCCAGGAGGGAGGCATCGTCTTAAATTTCGCCTTCGGCAACTCTAGCCGCAGCAGGCAGCTTGTGATCTTCGGGTCGTCAGCAAGAGGGTCGTCCCTTACCCCGTCTGAGTACATCTTCCGTAGATGCGACTCTAACTCCTCTTTGCTGACTACCAGAGTCCTAGACTTTGGTTGCTCGAACAAGCCTCGGGCAAACTGGAACGGGTTCCTAAAGAACTTTTCTCTTTCCGTCTTGGTTCTCCGTCTGTTCGTACAGAAGCGCTCGGCGCGACAGAGGGCACTGTGTCTGACTCTCAGGTGATTCCAGACCTCGTACAGCCTCTCCCATTCGTTTTGAACCGTTTTCATAGTTCATTCTTGTCAGCTCTGCACTTTTCAATCTCTCTCCGTCTTCTGCTTTTTCCTTGCGTGGCGCCCGGCTGCACCTTTTCGACTGTACCGAACTCGTGGGCACAGTGCATATAAATTATGTCTCCAAACCTCGTTAGCTTGTCACCTAGCTTTTTGTTCTTGAGCTCTTTATTTATTGTCTCACACAGATTACCTTACAGCTTACACCGTGATACCTTATCGTTCGCGGTTGGGAACATATTCTTAGCCCGCACGTCGTCAGAGATCTTAGGGGTACGCCAATGTAGCCAAGGGCCTCTCCAGGCGTGTGGGATGAACCAAGCCCGTCGTTCCCTAAAGTCTCAGTAAAACTACAGGTGTAATTATGCGCCGACGCTTGTTATGTGGCGCACCCTCGCATTTCATTCTCTGGTGTGCGTTCTAAGGCCATGCAACCTAGTGAACATTTTCGCACACGTGCATGCCCAGCCCGTGCGATGGGCATTAATCACGCTCCGGGGACTGGCAATGTAATCACCAATAGTATCAGTTTAACTGGGTCCTTCATCCCCCCCCCCCCCCCAAAAAAAAAAAAACTTTTCTGAGGACCCTGGCGGCATCTTTCATTTAGGCTTGTACAAATCGACTTATTATAGTGAGTTAAGGGTGACCCTTCGAGCCATGTTCCTTTCCTCAACGGTGTGTCCAGACGATAGGTCGACTTCCAACACCGCCATCGGTCCTCTTTTTCCGTCAGTGTTAACAGCATCGCACGATTTGTGTGACGATGCCTGGTGCTACGCGGAAAGACGTGATGCACACACACACACACACACACACACACACACACAGAGAGAGAGAGAGAACCCGCTCTCACCCTTGAAAATATTGGACTTTTTGGCGTTATCGGGGGGGGGGGGAACTATTGGGAAAGAACCGAGATATACAAACCACGGCCTTCTCTTATTTATAAATACAGGCGGACCTGATACAAACTGTTTTTTTTACATTTTTTTTTATTTGATTTAAAATGTAGATTACCCTTAATTGGCATTTAAAGTATCATCACTTTGAACTTAATTAATTTACTAATAGTTTTAAATCAACACGTTATATTGTAAAATTATTAATATTGTGTTTGTTTTATTAGTTTCTCGACAAACATTTTTAGGCAACACATAGCAGACGACAAACTAAAATGTCCTCCCAGCCGGAGTTCTTGTAAACATTGCGAATATCTGTAGCTCTTTCGATAACATAGCTATGTCACAGTTGATAGTTCAGAGAAAAAGACAGAAAAAAAGTAAAGTGGTATCCGTCAAATGTTTTATTTTAGATAATGTTGAAAAAACTCTTGAAGTTGGAAATAAGAAAGATGATATTTCACGTCCTCAAGAAAGTGAAAATGCTGTCACACCAGAACCACAAGGACGTCAAGAGCAGGTTCAACTTCAAGTTGTCTCGCATTTAGCAGCAGATTTTCTGAATTATAAGTGGGTAGATATAACAAGAGAAGGTCTGTGTTTACAGTTAACACAGCTCTACTGCCGAGAAGACGCAGACACTTTGTTGACATTATGTGAACAAGAACTTGTTTATAACGAGGGCGATTTAGCCACGGTCAAATTGTTTGGAAAGCGAATACAGATTCCCAGAAAGCAGGTTAGAGATAAATTATTATAGAAATATAAAAAGTTCTTTTTGTGTGTGAGTAAAATATTGTTCATGTATATGAGTTGAAAGATGGTAATATTCTTCTGTTTTTTCCCTTCTTCTTGAGGTTCACTGGCTGTTATCTTCAGCAGAAACTTTTGGTTGTTCATCCACTAGTAGACTTCAGACTTGTTACAGAACGTGAATTGTGTGTCCACCTCCGTTTCACAGATATGTCCAAAATTGTGTGCAGACTGTCAGATCTTTGGCAATCAGGCATTTGAAAAATCTCTATTTGGTCGCCAGCTATCCTCCGAAGAACGGTCCCAAATTATCGAGGTTGAAAATATACCCTAACAGGCCTCAGTCACATGTAAAATGTGGACTTCCAGCGACTTAACTTGCAAACTTCCGGTGACTACCACCACCGCCGAGAGTACCTCCCAGGCCACTACGCGTGGAGCAAGGCTAAACTAGATGACTGGGACTCACGAGCAGCAGCTACTGCATCTCCTGCAGCTTCCTTCATTTTATTTGCTTATGAGTCCCAGCCTTCTAGTTTAGCCCCACTCCGCACCATGCATAGCGGCGTGGGAGATACTCTCGGCTGTGGCGGTAGTCGCCGGAAGTCTGCAATTTATATGTGACAGACCCTGTTAGGGTATATTTTTGGCCTTGAAAATTTAGGACTGTTATTCGGAGCATAGCCTGGTCGCCTCTTACAACAAGCTTGGTAGAAAGGTGGCTCTCCTCCGAACTTCTACCCGATATTATGGCGGTCATAAAATATCCTTATGGGGCTCAGGCATATGTAAAATGCGGACTGTCTGCCAAGGAACAAATCGCGGCAAAACTAGAATTACTTGACAATTTCAAGTGACGTAACATTGCAGACGATATTAGCGACCGTTGACAATTTTGAGCGTTTCTGCAGACGATAATAGCGATTAAAAACGCAATTAAACTCACCGCCGAGCGTATCCCCCAGCGCCGCTAGGCGCAGTGCGGGTGGGGGGCTTAACTAGGTGCCTGGACTAACGAGCAAATTAATTGGAGGAAGTTGCAGGAGATGCTCGTGAGTCCCAGCCATCTAGTATAGCCCCCATCCACGTTGCGCGTAGCGGCGGATACGGTCAGCGGTGAGGCATAGTCACAGAAACAGGTTCGCAATTAACATATCGCTGAGACCAAGTTAGAGCATTTGTTTGGAGCTGGCATATTATTAAAAGGACTGAGCCCCGTAAGGATATTTTATGGCCGCCATAATATTGGGTAGAAGTTCGGAGGAGAGCCAAAAAGGTAGTGGGTCTAATCTTGTTCCACAAAATGGGATCCCAGAACCCATACAGGCAGGAAGATATATTTTTAAAATCCTTCTGACAGAAAACTTATATCAGGAGGCCGGTAGCTTTTATAAAAGCTATCGTGCAGTCCATATCTCCTCGTGTACCATACAGTTTCATCTTCATTGTGGTTGGAACAGGCCAGGTTGTGTCTCTGTTGTCAGCATACAGTTTCATCTTCATTGTGGTTGGAACAGGCCAGATTGTGTCTCTGTTGTCAGCATACAGTTTCATCTTCATTGTGGTTGGAACAGGCCAGATTGTGTCTCTGTTGTCAGCATACAGTTTCATCTTCATTGTGGTTGGAACAGGCCAGATTGTGTCTCTGTTGTCAGCATACAGTTTCATCTTCATTGTAGTTGGAACAGGCCAGATTGTGTCTCTGTTGTCAGCATACAGTTTCATCTTCATTGTGGTTGGAACAGGCCAGATTGTGTCTCTGTTGTCAGCATACAGTTTCATCTTCATTGTAGTTGGAACAGGCCAGATTGTGTCTCTGTTGTCAGCATACAGTTGACAGTGTTCTAGCACATACTCAGCATTTTCGGGTGCCAAGTTTCAGGGACACACGTTTCCCACACAGAAAAGTCTGAACATATGTTGACAAAGTCTGTTGTGTCGTGTCCCAAGTCTGAATGTTAACACATTGCCACTCTCTAGAGAGGCGATAAAGCAAGTCTTGGAGAAAAAATGTGGTGATTGTATCCAGTCACCTTTCTTGGATACTAGATTGTATTAATGTCTTAGTCTGTTGGTAGGTAAAGTCACTGTCTGATTGTACCATGTCACTAACACTGCAGGACAGTCTGTCCTCTTTTTTATTGCTTTCAAGGCCACTGCAGTACTGGCTGTTTTACTGAAGAGCCTAGGTGAATCATCTACTGAAGAGCCTAGGTGAATCATCTACTGAAGAGCCTAGGTGAATCATCTACTGAAGAGCCTAGGTGAATCATCTACTGAAGAGCCTAGGTGAATCATCTACTGCATCAAGTCTGCAAACTGAGCATCTTTTGAGTTAAAAATTGCTTGCAGAACTCACATAGCAGCAGTTAGAAAGACCACTGGGCTAAATCTGCTGTGCTGTTGTCAGGAAGGGGAGGAAGATGATAATGATAAAACCTGTAGGCCTCCATCCCTTGTGTCTTTGTGATACATTCATCTCACAGTGTAAAATATCTAGGAGATGATAATTATCTAGGGATTTGACATTGGGGGTGTGTAGTTTAGACATGTCACCTTTGTGGTGCATTATTAAGGTTGTTTATATTGAAAAAAAACTGACTTGATAGCATCATTTTAACCCTATATTGCTCGGCCTCTCTTCCCTGAAAGGCCAATCACCCACTAATACTGTGACACAAAGCATATAACTTAATAGCTCCAGCAATGACCCCACGTTCTCTGAAAATTTAAGATGGCTTCCAAAATGAAACTCACAACCTTCAATAGAGGTGTTTGACTTAAGCACTCACCACATAAATCCTGTTTATGTGAGATTAATCAGTGTGCTTTCTTTTAAATTCTCAACATAGTTTTAGATTTTTAGAAAGAGTTAACATTGTTATCAATTTTCAGTGACCAGAGACAAAGTCAAACAGATCAGTATTATTGAATATAGTTCCAGAGTTTTATGTGCACCTCCATTTTACAGATCAGGCTAATTTGTATGCAGACTGCTGGTTCCTTGCATGTCATGCTAATGCACTCTGACTTCAAATGTATAAACTCTGGTTAGTGAACTTTTACAACATGCGTGTTAGAGAGCAGTGGGTCTGTCCTTTTTTGTTGCTGCCTCCCCACAATGGGACCATGGAACCTGGGAGTGAATATAGTTTAATCTATCTACAGGTGGCACACGGCAACACAGGTCTAACTTACACATTCTCTGGCAACACGATTCCTGCACGACCATGGACTCCACTTTTGATGAAAATACGGGACCATATTTCTGCAGCCACTGGCTACCAGTTTAATTTTGTCTTGATTAACAGGTAAAGTAACTGAACCGTAACCATTATTTAACTCTTTTTGCACCAGAAGGTTTAGCAGCAGATGAATACAGTTGGAGTAATTGAATTTTACTAGTGCAATGTTTAAGCCTATTACCTCAAGATGGCTAAATCTAGTCACTTCCAGTTGTGACAGTCCTTAAAGGCAGACTGTCAAGGACCTTTTTGTCTGCCATGCCTGCATTTGGCTCGTCTTATAGGCCCGTGACAGATAAATCTATTTTACACACACTACCCAAACACCTACAGAGCACAGAACAATCTTTATTGGAAAGAACAATACAACAACACGCAGTCGACCTCAGAACTCGTGGGTACACCTATCCGAAACCAAGGACGTGAGGGCTTTACAAATCACCTCTCACTCCTATCACTTTTTCCTGGACAGTATTGGATCCAAATCTAAGCCATTTCTGTACAGCTGTTACGCCCACCACTTAACACAACGCTGGGACCACGGAGCATCTGCTGAGTGCCGGGTAAATTGGGCAAGAAAAGATCAAATCACAACAATTAAAACAAACAAACCTTATCTACCAGACTGACGAAAATCTACAGGAGCAAGCCATACACAAATCCTATCTCTGTCGGATGCGGTATAAAACAAAGATACTGCTACAATCTAACCAAACACAGAAACTATCGGTCACTATCACTCCAAGCAACACACTACTATATAACTGTCAAACTAGCAGAAGTTGCAGTCGCCTGTCCTCAGATCGTCTCTCCTGATTACTCGCTGTCCGCTAGTTTTATTGCATTCGTAACTTCTCGACATCCCATAGTATGTCGTGTCTTATTTACAGCAATCCCTGCCAAGACACTAGTCACACCTTCTGATCAACAGTGCAGACTAAACAGCAGTCACAAGTGTGGCCTGCAAGACACATTCCCATCCACTAAGGCAACGCCACCCTTCAAGTGTAGTTTCCTGCAATGTAAGACTTTACTACAAGCGTTTGTATTCTCTCTGTGACTACTCATCTGAAATATCTGCAGTGACCCATTCAGAAGGCATGCTGAGGAAGGGGAGGACAGAGTGTTTTGCTTCAGAGATCATGAGTAAAGAGCATTGTGTGGATCTTTTCTCCCGGGTATGCCAGTATGTTGGGAAAAGAACAAGCAGACAGACTGGCTGGCTCTACACAACTTGGTGGAATACTGATGCATGGTAAGGCAGACATGTTCAAACCTTATGGAAGAACATGTACAGTTCGGAAGAGCAAATGGATCACTACAGTCTGGTGAGAGTGTTGCAGCTGGGAGTGACGAGGGGATCTGGCTGATACTCGACGTTCAGAGGAAAGGCAAGATGGACATTAAATAAGAGAGCTACTGGCACCAATGGTATTGGAACTCTATGCTGGCTGCTGAAGATGGGGTCAAAGTACTTATGGAAATGCCCTGTGGACTTTAGCCTTATATCAGGACCTTCTTCTTGTTTTTGTGCATTCAGTTTTCTGTGCTCAGACCAGACCATCAGGTGGGTTGCCTCTATGAACTTGCATGCCAGTAGCAGGTCCTCCATGGTTCCCCATAGCTTGCTCTGCACACTCTGCTCTTTTCAAAGTTGTAGGTAGAGTGTGCAGGTCTGCAGAATGTGCTCAGGTGTTTGCGATCCTGTTTAACAGGCACACGGTTTCTGATTTCTGGGAATGACAATGGATGGGTGTTGTTTCTCATTTGTTCCATTTTTAGCAAGTCAGTCTGTGAACTCATTTTCTGGTATGCCACAGTGAGCAGGGATCCACCGGAGAATGATCTGATTGTTTTCTGCGAGTCTGTTTAGCTGGCGGGTCAGTTCTCTTGCCATGTTGTCTCATGGATCCCTCTGAGTCGCCTGGAGGACTGACATGCAATCACAAAGGAAAACAGTTTTGCTGTTTTTAATTTTTCGTTCCTCGAGCACTTTGGCTGAATCAATAATTGCTTGCTGCTCTGAAGTTTGTTAAGAGTTTTCCGGATTCGCATGACGTTTCTACTGTAGTCCCATCTTGCAGCATGAAAACCGATCCAGCTCCTCCGTTTCCCCTGCTCCCTCCAATCATCCATTGGTGTGTATGTGTGTCCATTCAGGTATTTTTTTTTATAACAGTTGTAGACATGTTCGAGGGTCTTTGCATGCAGTACTAGGTCACATTCTTCAGCCTTTCTCTCTGTGCCTAGAATTGTTGTGCCTGTAAAGTTAGGCTGTAGGTCTTTGCTGCATCAGGACCTGAGTTTTGCATGTACTTTCATTTTACTGACTTATTTGTGTGCCGTTCTTATTTCCGACCTCTCGGGCATATGTACTCCGATATCAAGGGAACCTTTTCTATTTAAAATTAACATGTTTATTTTCTTGGTAAAGTCCATTTACTGGCAATATTTATTTGATCGGCAGGTATAAGGATGGTCATGATTACATGGGAGAGCACAAGGATGATGAGAAAGATCTGTTTCCAGGCTTCCCCATTGCTTCCCTAAGTTTGGGTCAGCCAAGAGACTTTGTATTCAGACATCAGGACAGTAGGGGGAAAGACTGTAAGCGTAAGATAGCTCCTGTGTCACTCACACTGGAGCACGGTGTGTTATTGTTGATGAAACACCCCACAAACTCATTTTGGTATCATTCCCTGCCTCGTCGAACTAGAGCTCTTGGTGTCAGAGTTAACCTGACTTTTCGCAAGATGCAGCCATCTCATAGCAAACATGCATAAGCTCATGTCAGTCTTATGTTAACCCTTCTCACCAAAAACACATAAAAAAGGTAATGAACCCTGGGAAACTCCTGAAACAAATCCTTAAACTATTTTACACAGGTCACTAAAATTTGAGCCGGACTTTTAAAAAAATGACCTTGGCTCTCAGGTCGACCCAGCATTGAGTGAGTACCGGGTGCAGTCCCAGGAAGTAAAGGCGGCCGGCGTGATGCTGAACACATCATCCATTTTGTGCCGATTGGTCTATAAAAATATAGGTCTAGCCCTATATGCCCTATGTACCTAAAGGCGTAGAAAAGGGTCCTTTACTGTTTTTTTTAAAAACTAAAATTTGAAAACAACAAATGTATTTATATATATTGTTTGAACTTTGAAGTTGCTGTTGAAAAATATGGAGAGTAGACAGTAAACATGAAACAGAGTGAAGAATAAACTACATGTTATTCACTGCATAAAAAAAATCAATGCAGCGGGTGACTCAAACCCTGACCCATTGATGACAGAATTGTAATGTCAGACTGGTTGGAAACAGGCATTTTTTTTACAGTCAAACCTCTTTTAATGCTGTTTTTTTTTAAAAGTAAAACATAACATCCACACCCCCTAAATGCTGCACAGGTGCAAACACAACCAATAATGTTAAATATTTCTTGAGCTTATCTGTCTGATAATGCAACTCCCACATTACAAATGTTCACAAGCTCATATATTGAATTAACCTTATTGTTCTAATGAATGTAGTCCTTAGAACATTAGATGCTTGTTCAAGCTCATTTATTTCATGAGTTAAACATTATTTTTAACTCTTTCAGTCCCGGGGGTTTAGCATCAGAGGCCTAAGAGATGGTAAGGAGAGACATATAATCTAGGCATCTTGGTGTGTTCCTTGCGACTAAAAGAGTTAATAAAGTTCTCTCATTAAAAACTAAGATAAGTTTTTATCCTTCTTGCCAAGAATGCAGTGGACACCTGTGTGAATGTATGGCGTGTCTCTTGCGAATGAAGTAGTTAATATAGTTCTCACATTATCCTTCCTGCTAAGAATGCCGTGGACACCTGTGTGAATGTATGGTGTGTTTCTTGCGAATGAAGTAGTTAATATAGTTCTCACATTATCCTTCCTGCTAAGAATGCCATGGACACCTGTGTGAATGTATGGTGTGTTTCTTGCGAATGAAGTAGTTAATATAGTTCTCACATTATCCTTCTTGCCAAGAATGCCGTGGACACCTGTGTGAATGTATGGTGTGTTTCTTGCGAATGAAGTAGTTAATATAGTTCTCACATTATCCTTCCTGCTAAGAATGCCGTGGACACCTGTGTGAATGTATGGTGTGTTTCTTGCGAATGAAGTAGTTAATATAGTTCTCACATTATCCTTCCTGCTAAGAATGCCGTGGACACCTGTGTGAATGTATGGTGTTTCTTGCGAATGAAGTAGTTAATATAGTTCTCACATTATCCTTCCTGCTAAGAATGCCGTGGACACCTAGATAAGTTTTTATTCTTCCTGCTAAGAATGCCATGGACACCTAGATAAGTTTTTATCCTTCATGCTAAGAATGCAGTGGACTCCCAAGAAACCCAGTATCCATTTCTGCAAGATGCCAGTTCTCACATAAATTTGATTACCCTCATCAAGACAAGATTCACAATTGTTGTTGTTATTATAAGATGAGTTTCTGAAAAAATGTTGTGACAGCCGGAAAGATCAAAGGCATTTAAGACAAGAATAGGAATGTATCAAACCACTTTACTGCTGCGGCTATTCTTGCAGCTGATAAAGCTGCGGCTATCCTTGCAGCTGATAAAGCTGCGGCTATCCTTGCAGCTGATAAAGCTGCGGCTATCCTTGCAGCTGATAAAGCTGCGGCTATCCTTGCAGCTGATAAAGCTGCGGCTATCCTTGCAGCTGATAAAGCTGCGGCTATCCTTGCAGCTGATAAAGCTGCGGCTATCCTTGCAGCTGATAAAGCTGCGGCTATCCTTGCAGCTGATAAAGCTGCGGCTATCCTTGCAGCAGATAAAGCTAAGTTTCCTCATAATTTCTCTTAGGTGTGAGTGTGATTTATTGATAGTATAAAAAATGTACCATATTTTACTGTGCATAAGATGACACCCTTGTTGGTTTAGCCCAAAATTAAGAAATAATTTAAACACATTTGGTATATAAGATGTCCCATACCTTTAAACTTAAAAAATTTGGAAAAACAAACATACACATCATCTTATACACAGAAAAGTATGGTATATGGCAGTGGAACTAAAGTTTTTCAAAGAAACCATGCAAAGAATATCATGGACTGACAGAAAAATAAATCGGGTAGTCCTGAAAGAGAATGAAAACTGTAAATTGAGAAGAGAAATATAAAGTTTTTTTTATTTTTGAGTCAAGTGAGGATGAGGGAGAGATAATATACAGGCTGACCTACAAACACTTGGAGTCTTCGACTAGAAAGACAAAGCCAGTCACAGAGATGAATGGGGGCAGTTGATGTTTGTTGTGATGAACCTCAAGGGCTCTGAATGCTGAGGAAGAAGAAGATTGTGGCAGTGTAAAACTTACTAGTCTTCCCACAGACCGCCCACATACACACTAGCTCCCTGGTAGTTTATTTTGTGAGAGCAAACAGGTACAGTGTGAATGCAGAACAAGCATTTATAATGAAATATATAACAAATAGTTACAATGTAATCATAGATGAAGCAATTCCAATGTTATCATAGGAGAAACAATTATAGTTTAATTATAGAACAAACAATTACAATAGTGAGAATATAGTACAAGTAATTAGTGTCAATGCAGAACAAACAATTACAATTTGAATGTAGAACAATCACAATAAAATATAGAACAAACAGTTACAATGTTAACGATAAAGGGGGAAGAAAAAAAGACAATTTACTGTAAAGGGTTTATGATTATTGAAGACTTATCACAGAGCAATCACTAAACATATTGTTTTAAGAATAAATGTCCACATTCACAGGTAGGCTGTATGTCAACTTGTGGCATAAGTCACTGAATTAAAAGAAATGCTAAACAATGAACATTTGTCAAACCACATACAAACATCACACACAAAAATAAAACAGCAACATCGCAGAAATATGACCAACAAAATATACAAGTTCAACCACTCCACAATCAAATTATAACATACAAACCAACAACTAAGTCATAAAATCACAGCCAAATACTCGCAGGACTGATCAGTTCAACAAACGGAGGCCAATAATAAAACATCCCTACCAGGATGAAGGTTTTGTTCATATTAACCAAGTGTTCTGAAGACAGTTGGCGTAATGAGGTTTTTACTGCAGTATAACTAATAACCCCTGGGTGATGGTGGTTCAAGTTGTCAGCAGTAGCCCTGAGCAGTGTTCCTCAAATGTTTACACCCCTTGCCCCCCCCCCCCCCCCCCCCCCCAAATAGTGGACACTGTTCTGAGGTCCCTCTGGACTTTTCCCAAGGCTGACTAGTGGGCAGTGGCCCACGGGTGGAAGAACACTGGTCAGACTGTTGAAGGTAAGATGCGACCCTGACTTCACAACTTGAATATTCAATCTCTGGTTTTCTTTTAGACAACATCCCCAGAATGGTACAACAATGTCTGTGCTGAATTCTCAACTAGTCTTAGCCCTCTATCCCATATGGTGGCCCATGGAACAAATTAAACTTTCCAATGTCCAAGGGAAACTAACTGGGAAGGCTAACCCAGTCAACAAATACCCACAGAAGCCGGATGTGTCAGCCAAAAGGTGCAAATATCGCAGCCACGCTGTAAACGGACACAATGCAACTATGTCTTCGGATGAACGCAGAAGAAGAAACTTTTAGACACAAACAAAGCATATTGTGCACCAGATATATGCGCACCAGTCAACATGTTCTGTATATTTGTACATGTGAAGTTAAAGGAACTTGAATCAACCCAACAACACCAGTCATCCACAATGTGCTGCGTATTTGGACCCTGTGGGTGCAGTATACCCATGGTTTCACTGTGAGCATTATGGATTTAATCAGGCATCAGCTATGGCATTATTGGACAGAATGGTGAATGAATGTGGAATTAAGAATAACATCACAGCACCCGAGACACTCCCATAAGGGCTCCGTCCCCCCCCCCCCCCTCCCCCATCTTCAGCAGCTAGTGAAGAGTTCCAATTCCAATGGTAACTGTCTAAATGTACATCATCTCACCTTTCCCTTGAGTGTTGAGCATGGGTTTTGTACTTAAATGGGACTGAAATACTTAAAGGGGTCCGTGATTTCATTTACAAACAAAAAAAATGAACAAGCATCCAGAAAGTTGAATTGAGACCTCGTGGTTTCGGACATATGGTGATTAGTTCATACTGCATGGAAGTAATAACAATCAAATGCTGAGGTTTTAGAGATGGACCAGCCCTTTGGGAACAAGCAACTGAATCAGAGAAACAAGATTATCGCCTGGAGAGAATGAGGCACCTGGGTGTAACCAGAGGGTCTGGCCAGCTCATTACAGTCAGAGGAAAGGCAAAACCAACATATAACCAAATTGTGACCTGTACCATCAGTTTTGAAACTCTGCGCTGGACCCTGAAGATGAGGACGGAGCACACATGGGAATGCCCAGAGTGCTGTGATGTCAATTCTTGACTCAACTGAACACAATGGGCCACTCACTAATTCTAGAAAGTTTATGCGCTGAGTGAGATTCTCCTTGTTTGACCACAAATAAAGAGACCGAGCAATAACAGATATAATCCAAGTGCAATGTATATGGGCCCTGAAACCAATTAACAAACTGTAATGGTTACGACACACAGAGAAAATACAAGTAGAGCACAAGGCAGACCAAGATGACGGAGTAGAGATAATATACAGGCAATCTACAAACACTTAGAGTCACTAACTAGAAAGAGAGGGCCAGTCACAGAGCGGGTATAGAAGCGGGTGAGATCTACAGCAGTACACCTCAAGAACTCCTAAAGCTGAAGAAGATGAATT